AGGTTTGTTCCTAGTCCAAGCAGCCCTGGTGTGCGATGGTCTGCTCACAATTTATGGGATTTTGATGAGAAATAGCTCACAAAGATAACAACAGCTATGAAGAGATGGAAACCTAATGGCGCTCACTAGTAACCGAGCTGGGTCATGCGACACAGACTTTCCCTCTCACGGTATGCGCTGTTTCTCTTGGGACATTGCACCCTCTCAGGACACCTCCTGCTCCCTCCAGCCCCTACCCAGATGCTCCCTAGTGTCTCTAGTCACGGTTCAATTGTGGTTCACACAAAACAGTGAATAACGAAAAGCAGCAGGACAAATGCCAGGCTTGGTCTAGGGAAGAATGCTGAGTGGCACATGCAGGTGGCCGGGCTCTGAGTCAGGGCTGCCCTGCACCCTCGCTGCCCTGGGGCCCTGCAGACAACTGAGGATGCAGAAGTGCCCCTCAGACAAGAAGCTGGGGAGCCGTTAGAGGGGCTCAGACAGACGGGGCCTCTGGCAGGGCTGCTGTGGGACTGTCCCACGATGCCCCCGTCACCCCATGAAGTTTCATGGAGATGTGGGGGCCGTGAGTGCAGCAATGCGCAGGCTTGAGGGTGTAGCTCCTTGTGCCCAAGGTGCCCCATTGTGTCTGGGGGAGCAAGCAGGGCCCAAGCTGGACCTGATACCTCTCCTCCCAGGAAAGACAGCTTCCCCTGAGACTAAGAGAACTGCAGGGAGCTGCATAAACAAGCAGGAAAATCTTTTGTTTTTGTTTTTATTTTTTAAAACCATGAACAGCTTTAAAGAACCTGGTTTGCTGACAAATGGACCTTCCTTGGCAGCGAGAGGGAAGTGCAAGGCTCAAGGGCAACCGTACAGGACAAGGATGATTAGCAGAGGCAGCTGTCAGGCTGTGAACCCTCAGAGAACAACACACTGGGAAGAGGAGGAGCCACGGAAAGCTCTGAGCCCTGCCTGGGTCCACAGCCACACCTGCCAAGACAAGAGCATGGCACTGTATAGAAGCTGTGTGTGCCAGCGCTCTCTGCCCTCCCGTTTTCTCTCCCCCCTCTCTCTAAGTGTGCACTGTGCATATTTCAGAAGCGGCAGACAGCAGGCCTCTGAGATCCCAGAGCCCCCCCGCAGGAAACCGCACCCCACTAGAAACCCGGCGGCATAGCCAAGCGTGTGAAGCCTGAGGTGTGTGCGGGCCTTGCACCTTGACGAATCTGCACCGCCCAGCTCTGTTTCTGTCCTGCGTTCATAAACAGCCAACTGTTCCCCCGCACACTAGGAACTTCGGTAAGCACTGCCTGTGGATGCCTGCATAAAGCTGCCTCTTGGGGAAGGCCGAGGTGCTAATGCACAGCTATGCAGGTTGTCATGGAGGCTGACAGCAGTGTCACCTTCCCAACAGTGTCTACAGCTAGGGCTCTGCCTCATTTCCCCTGCTTGTGACACTCTCACAGGGTGTCTCATAATTTCAGGCCCTCCCAGAAGCCCTAGAGGTGCTGGGTTGTTTTCTTTGTTCTTTTCCTGGTGCCAGGGCTCAAACCCAGCCCTTGAGTGTGCAGTGCAAATGCTTTGCTGCTGAGCTCACGTCCCAACCAGCCCTCTACAGGTTGTCACTATCAACCCCCAGCTATGTGCCTGGCAGCAGCACCAACTTACCTCTCCCCCACTTCTCAGCCTCAATCCTCTGCCCTACCTCTTCCCCTGGACATCTATCCCTTCCCCCTTCTTCCTGAGGTCACACTCTTCAGGCCCCTGTGCCCTGAGGTCAGAGCTCCCAAACCTTCTAAGTGACAGGAGGAAAGCACATGCCTGTGGATGCCAGGAAGCTGGTGGCCTGTACCAGGTTAGTGAGGTCGTGCACCACAGTGGCCAGCCTCAGAGGCAGGCTGCTCTGCACAGCCCAGAGACACGATGCCAAGCACCTCTTCTCTGACCGTGACACAGAAACCGGAAATGTCCCAGCTTTTGCTTTGGCATTTCAGATCTCCCCCTGTTCCCTCTTTCCAGGACTCATTAGCTTTGCTTTCTTTAACTTCTAGTCATGCTTTCCCCAAACTAGCTTTGCACATGGACCTGGTGCTCTGTCTTTGTTTTCCAACTGCAGCGGATCCTGCACATGCAAGTCACAGAGTCTGGGCGGGTTTGAAGGACAGTGTGTGCAGGAGAATCCTGAGATAGGCAGCACCGAGTCAGCAGCACACGGTGAGCATGCAGATCGCACTCTATGCCCTGGTGCCAGCTCGGCTTTGCCCCCACACACCCATGGGAGATCAAAGGTAAATGAATCCCCCTAAAACAGTACTTATTTAATAAGATTATTGGCTTTTTCCTTTCTACAAGGTCATAGAGAAATTCATGCTTGTGTATTAGCTTCTGGCCTTCAAATTTGCTCTTATTTGACACACAGCCTAAGAATTCCACAGAGAACGAATGTGATCTAGTAGTGTAGCTTTTCTGGATACTGAGCCTGGGACATGGTTGAGTTATTCCATCCTGTCTCATCATCCAGATTACAGGGGCTGGGGACACTGCTCATGTCACAGCCAAGGGGTGCACTGGATTTAAGGAGAAGCCAGAAGCGCTTCTAATCAGTCTGCAGCACCAGGGCGGCCCCACATGATGTGCCCCGCCCTGAGGATCAGTGGGGCTGAGGCTGCGCAGCCCTGGTTACCTGTGCTGGGGAGGAAGAGTGCATGACAGCTCTCACCAGCCAGCCAGGCAGTTCTCAGAATTCTCTGAAGTTCCCAGTAAGCCCTCGTGATTGCAGGACTCCAAGGGCTGGGCGTAGCTTGTGGGCTTTTACACATCCTCACCTTAAGGTTCACAGGTGTCACTTACCAGAGACACCACTAATGACCCTGGCGGGGCACCACAGCCACACAGCTGCTTACACCGACACACGGAAGCTTCCCTGATGTGGCCATTCCAGCCACTACGTGTGACATGGCATTGCTCAGAGGGAGAAGAGAACAGTGAATCCTCACAGCAAGAAGAAACCCATCCAGCTTGGGGTGCTGTGAAGGCTTTAATGAGACAAAATGCAAATGAGGACTCGGATTTCAGTGTGGATGTGAAACTCCTGTGTGTCCAGGAATTTCCCTTCCTCCCTCCTCTCCACACCCAGGAAGCAGAAGACAAAAGTCAAAAACATGAAAACATAATTACTGTGTTATGATGGAGAGGTAAGGTTGGGTTTGGAGGCTAGAAAAGGGGCACAGGGAGTTGGCCCTCCACATTCACAAAGAATACATTTTAAAATATGATTCTACAGAAAAAAAAAATCCGAGACATCGAAATGAGCTCCGCACATGGACCTGCTAGAGCCCCATGACTGCCTGTCATGGCTCTGGATTTGACAGATGCCAGACAGTCCGGGTAGGTTCTCAGCAAATGACAAGTGGATGAGTGGGGCCAGACAAGTGCAAGGGGAGAGTGACAAGAGAGGAGATGCTCCTGGCAGGAGACGGCTGGGAAGCTGGGTTGGGTTCATCACTTCCAGGCAGGCACCAACTTAGGATCTGCTCGTGTTCTAGAAAGTTCATCTCACTCCAAAGAACCTGAGTACCAGGAAAACGTAAGGAAGCAGAAGCAACCTGTGGCAGGTGGATAGGACCTTCCATTATGCTAAGCTCGACGCTCCCGTTTTAGAGTTTGAACAAGTTGATTCAGAAGTTAGTCATTGTGCTCCAGATCACCGTGAGCCTTAGGAACAAGCTGGCCTTGAGACTCCCCTGCTGTGCTGTGGTGTGCTGTGTGGAGCAGGGGGAAGGGGGAGACACAAGAGGGAGAGGGGAGGCTGGCCAGGAGGGCATGACTGGCTCCCACCCACCTTGGCCAGTCCTGTCTTCTGGAAGCAACTCAAGTGCACAAGGCGCGTGAGTCTTACACGCGGGCTTCAGGTCCCTTGGGTTGTCCAGGATGAGTGCACAGGGACAGAAATGGCCCCAGAGTTTGCATTCTTCAGGCCCTCTCAGCTGTCTTCTCAGCCCACAAGAACGCCTTAGTTTACCTGATAAACATTTCCTAAACCCTTACTTCGCTTGGCGCTGCCCTGGGCCACAGCGTGTCATAGTACAGAATGCACATGGCCCTTCCTCCTCAGGAGTTCGCTGTCTAGTGAGACAAAAAGTAAGCAAACGCATGTGATCATTTCTGCTCAGGTTGAACTCTATGAAAAACGGTAAGAGTAACACGTTAGTGGTGGTGGCTTGACTTTAAGGTAAAAGGTCAGTAAGGGGAAGAGATGAGCTTTGGAATCAGACCTCAAGGACAAGGGTGGGATCTAAGAGACACAGGAAAGGTAGCAGACAAGCCCATGAAATGCAGCTGCAGAGGCACAGGCCACCTCAGCTCAGCAAAACGGTTCACCTAGCAAAGGTGCGCGAAGCAGTTAGGTGCAGGCCTTTGCTGAGTGCACAAACGCGAAATTCAGGCACGCCTGGCACAAGGAATTCTATGCCCAGAGAGCCTGGGGAATTTAATAAGCCTGACCCATGCTCCAGCTGGCCTGCGGCAGATTAGAAGGCGACCCAAAACCGGAGAGCGAAGACACCTCTGAGCTCCTGAGCCAGCAGGGTCGGGGCTTTCCGGGAGATCGCCGACGCCTCCGGCACTCTGGGGGTCACGTACACCCCGGTGGGGACCCACGCCCCGCAGAGCCGGTCACTTGCACCCCGCGTGGGAGGCCAGGGCTCCCCAGGTAGTGAGTCAGGGGCGCCCGGCGCGCCTTCTCGGCCGGGTGGGTGGGACAGGACCGCAGGAATCCCCGGCCTAAAAGCGTCCGGGGCGGGCGACAAACCTCAGTCCAGGCGGCTCCACGCGCCTCCGACCTGGGAGGCCGCGGGGCTGGGCCTGCCGGTAAGCAGCGCCCCGGGGGAGCCGGCGGCGCAAAGCGGGGACCCCCCAGCCGCGCGCTCCGCCGCCCCTCCACCATCCTCCCCGGCCGCGCGCTCCCCTCCCCCTCCCTCCCCCGCCGCACTGCGTGGCTGCGCGCGCGCTCCCGGGAGGCCCCACCCCCTCCCGCCCGCGGGGGCGAGCGAGAGCCCGGCCCTCTGGGCGCGGGGGCGCGCGGGAGCCCAGCCCCCTGGCGGCGCGCCCCGGCGTGCGGCCGCGCTGTCGCAGCAGGCCACTCGCCGCCGGCCGCCATGGGGAACGGCATGAACAAGGTAACGCGCCCACGAGGCCTGGCGGGTTTGGGGGCACGCGCCGCACCCCGTTTCCGCACCCGGCTCTCGGGCAGGCGCCCCTGGCCGGGCCCGGCCCGATCCGGGCAGCTGCCCTTTTGCGCGGTGCCGGCGCAGGTCCCGGGCGCGGCTGCGGTTTCCGGGTCCCCTCCCTCCTGTCGCCCCTGACGATGCACACCCACGGTCCTGAGGCGGCACCGGCGTCTTCTGCTCTGTAATTTCCTCTTTTCTCCCCAAATTTTTTTTCCTGCACGCGCAGATGAGTGGCTCAGGTAGACAGAGCCCCAGAGCTGAGCTGGTTTGGACGGGGAGAGCAGCCTTAGAGTTGGCTGATCCCTGGGTGCCTGGTGGCTTCTGCCACAAGGGCAACCTGTGGGCCCTTCCTGCACTGTGCGCCCGGGCAGCTCCAGGGAGTTCGCCTCGTCCTTTGTCCGTGCTCCCCGGTTCCCTGCGGAGTGGGCCTCATCTCTCCTGCTTGCAGGCGCCCCCAGAGAATGTTACCTGGGTGTGGAGACTTGTTACCTGGCTATGTTCGCACTGACCCAAGACCCAAGCTTAAGGTTCCACGGGAATTGTTAGATGACTTAGTCAGAAGCCTCTTCACAGGGCTTCTAGAGGTCCTGGGTCAGGGTGGGCCAGGCCCCTTCTCTCCACTGCGTCCACGCCTACCTGCTCCATTCCAGATGGGGTGGAGACAGCACGGTGGTTCTCGGTCTCGGTCTCTCTGTCTCACTGTGCCGGTATGAGTTCAAGGCAGGACAGGAGCCCTGTGGCAAGTGGACCCTGCTGTCCGCTTGGCCCTTGTCAGCTGTCCCCACTCTGTGAGATCCAGTGCATAAAAGAACCACTGTGTGTTCTCCGCCTGCCGCTCCCTGGGGATTCTGCCGACCAGAATTTTATCTTTCTTTTGGTGGTGATCAAGTCTGCAGACAGAGACCCTCTGTCTCGGGTAAAGAACGACGTGCGTCATGGCCCTGTTCGCACTGCCATCTGTCCCAAGTCCGAAGGACAGGCGCGCGGCCCCGCGCCTCCCGGTTCTTAGCAGTTGCTCACTGTCAGCGGCCCTTACTGTTTCCCTCTGGCTGGGAGCTTCCCTTTGGTTACAGTTTTCCCACGCTGGTTGTTCACTTTCCACCTCTTTCTACATTTAATCTGTAGAATTTTTGTATTATAATTCAAAAATTAGATTTAGAAATACATTCGATGACTTGAAGCAAAAGCAGTAATGGTTCATATCTTGCAGTGCAGCTTTGAGTAATACCAGTTTATTATCATAATTATCTTGTACTGCAGATAGAGACAGGTCTCCAGTGCAGGAATGGAGAAGCCTTCAAGAGAGGCATAGAGGCTACGCTGATTGGATGCACGGGGCTTCTGTGCTTCCGGGTTCCCATCCTGTGTTGACAGGAGGGAAGGGGGTGGAGTCCAGGACGGATGACACAGAGGCTCCGAAGGGAACCTTTGCTGTTAGCAAGGAAATTGTAAAGTGAGTCATGTGTGCAATTTAAGACTTTCTAGTAGCCGTATTTAAAAAGTAGAAAGAAATAAAATTCATTTTAATCATCTATTTTATTCAACCAGATATGTTAAAAATATTGTCATTTCTACAGGTAACCAATACACACATTGGAATAGTTTGCACTATTTTCCACTAAATATTCAAGGTCTAGCTTGTTTTTTATGCCAAAGTAGCATCTCCCTGGAGACTGGCTGTAGTTTAAATGCTCAGTGACCATTTTGGTTAAGGGTTATTATATTTGCGATGTAACACAGGCTCCACATGCACACTGGTGTGTGTATAGAGAGACAAAGTAGAGGGAGGTCTTGATGCTCCGAAGGTTAAGGTAGGCGATTTCAGGAGTGTGGTGAATGAAAGTTGAAATGGTTAGAGCAGCCTCCAAGGACCATCCAGTCCAGGCGGAGTCAGCATGTTTCACCCCGAGGCTGTGACCCCGAGGCACAAGGTCAGTGAGTGGTGAGCTGTTGGGAGCCCCCACCAAGAACCCCAACTTGAACTTGTCCACCTGTTACCATGCAATTTGGAATTCAATGGAATGGAACTTCCTGTTTCTCCAACTGTAGACAGACAAACACAGATCATGACTAATTTGTAGATTCTGTGGAAAGCATAAAATTCCAAGAGCATTTGTAAATAAAAAGGTGCAGTACCCTTAGAACTAAAGAGCAACTCAGGAACCCCGAAGTCCCTAAGACGAAGCACTGTTCTCATCCTGTGTGTTGGCAAAGGAGCTTTAGAGGCTAAACAATGTAGAGCCCACTCTACTGCCTGTGGGCAGCAGTTTTCAGTCTCAGGTTTCATATCCCCTCAGGGGATCTTCTCGAGATCCTGCCTGTCTGTCGTGTGTATTACATGGCTTGGCGTGAGGGAACATCAGGCAGTGTGGCAGTTTGGCCTCACCAAGTGCCTACACACTGCAAAACCTGAGCCTCGCTGTGAACTCTGAGGTCAGTGTGTCCACCCTCCTGGTGCAGATCTGGAGAGGGAGACTTGGAGAGATTCGATGATGACTAAGGTTCCCGTGCAAGTGGGCCGAGTTTGGGCTCCAGCTCACATTGATTTAGTGGGTGACGGAGTTGTTACTTTGAGCTACGATGCCAGTTGAGCCCAGATGGATTGTAAAGTCCTTGAAGAATGACCTGAAGCAGTCCCATGCTTTCAGACTGGCTGTGAAACAGGCCACGTCCATTCTCCTCTTCCCTCACATTTGACAGGATAGAGGGGTCAAAGATCAGCAAGCTGACACAGGCCCTTCATTGCTTTCCATGCAGATTCCAAATAGATGACCCAGGCAGGCCAGAGTCATGTTCACCAGCGAGCTTGCAGGTGCCGGTGAGTACCTCACACAGAGTAACTCATCCGTCCCTCCCCACAGTGCAGGGAATGGGTACTGTCACTTGCAGGCCTGTTTTGCAAATGAGGTGCACAGAAGGTAGGACCTTCGTGGATCACACAGCCACTGAGTGGCAGAGTCTGGACTTGGAGTTGAGGCTCAGCTTGGAACCACAGTGCCAAGAGCCTCCCTGCACTGCTGAGAGACCAGGCTGGCAAAGGTCTCTGGTAATACTAGTCAGGGAAGCGACTGTTGTGTGCACATGTGTTTCTCTGGAGCCTTTGAAAACTCCTACTTGACTCAAAGATCTCCCAAGAGTCCGGACCCCACACCTGTTGGGGAGGGCCCCCAAGCAGAACTGTCCTGAGAGTTGCTTTGCTAGTGTGGAGTGAGGCAGCACCTCATTAAAACAAAGCAAGAAGCTCATGGCTCTGGGTAGGGCTCGTGTCAGAGAAAGCTGGCCCAGGGCCTCTCCTGTGCATACCCTGGTCTGCACCCAAAGAGGGCCAACTCTGTCGGGAGTAGGAGCGAGGCCCTCTGGCTCTGGCTTCTGTCCTACCCTGGCTCTCGGGCTGGTTCTGCTCATGAGCAGGCCGAGAGGCACTGATCTGGTGGCCTCTGAAAGCATCCTGTCTCGGGCATGGAGCCCAGCCTGGTATCTCCGGTCTGTGCTGCCAAGAGGGGCCGAGGCTCCCATGGTGCTCTGCTGATTGGGAGCCGTGATCTTGAAAGTGCACGTGGGGCTTCAGCGTCTCTCTCTGTCTTCCGGGCTCCCACATGTTTACAGGTAAGAGGCTATCAGTGGTTCGCTTACCCTGGGCTCTCGTTTGCTACGAGACACTTTCGCTAATCACTGCTCAGATTCCTGAGAGAAGCGAAATGACATTTTTATGAACTGTTAGAGTGACCTTGGCTTCATCTCAGGGGTGTTCACGGTGGTGCCTGGCACCTTTCGGCTGTGGAAGGTTAAGGAGCCTGGCTAAGAGAGGCTCGAGCACAAGGGATGAGTCCCCGCTGCACAGGGAGGAGTTCGCAGCTACCGCGCTCTTGATGTTTCAGGCTGGGAACTCCTTGTTGTGACGACACCCTCTGCATTGTAGACGTTTAACAACCCCCGTCCTCCACCCTACAGGTGATAGTTACCAAGTGACAATGAAAATGTCGCTAGATACTGACAGACAGCCACATGTCGGACTGAGAAGCCCTGGCTCAGGGCTGTCCATCTAGAGTCCACTGGGCCTGTGTGATCTGGAGCTGACAGCTGTCAAAAGTAGGATCCAGCCTGTAAGGAACGGCCTGCTGGTGCGGGCAGGGGCTAGACATTAGTGCATCTCTGCCCTGCTAATGTTGTCATTTGCCCTGGGCAGCAGTGGTGACTTGGCCGCCTTCATAATTCAACCTAAGACCTGTGGACCTGTGCATCCTCCACAGTATCTCAAAACACCTGCTGAGGTCACGGTGCAGTGCCAGATCTTATAGTGGAAAATCAGGACAGGAGAACTCTGCCACCCTGAGTGGCCCAGGCACCCGCCAGAGCAGCAGGGCAGCAGTGTAGCCGACAAACGGGCAGCTGTGTGGCGGGTCTCCGTCCTCCCACCGGCAGCCAGCCAGCCCCGAGGAGGTTCTCTCCTCCCCTCGAGGTTACATTTTTATTTGACACTGGCAGAACTGAAGGACAGGGTAACACCACAGAGCACACAGAAAGGGTCTCAGATTCTTCCCTTCACAGATTTGAACAGGTGAAGTACATGGCTGCATGACATTAGGAAAGTCTGTGACATTCAGCCCTTCAGGGAATCCACCAGAGTTTTCCCCAGCCTCCCTGGCTTTGAAACCCAGAGTGCTTTCTGAGCTAGGAAGAATAAAGGTTCCACCCTACCCTGCATGCAGGGACTGGTACTGGCTGCTGGGCTGGGAATTTATCTCCTACATCTGCCGGGGCGGGGTTCTCAGACCCATGGCATCCTTAAGTACTAAGAGACGTGTGTAAAAATAAGCTAAAAAGATTTCCTGCCTTAGAAGCAGGATTCTGGTGGGCTTCAGTGGTTGAGGATTTGGCCTTTTGCCTGCCTGGACAGCAGCCCCGGCTGCCCTGCGAGGCGTGGGTGTGGCAGGTGCTGACCACCAGAG